TGCCCACCCTCCCAGGGAAGGATTCCTTCCCAGTATCCCATCTATCCCTGCCATCACAGAATGATTTCTGCTGGAAAAGCTCCCTCTGGGATCCCAGAGTCCAGCCTGTGACCAGTCACCACCTCATCAGCCAGGGCAGAGCATCCAGTCATTAAACCCCCCCGCCACGGGCAGGAATCACGGATATCCAGAGCTTGGAAGGCTCCCATGAGGATCAGGCCTTTTGATGGGGGGGTCGATCCAACTCGTTTTCTCTCTTCCCTTCGCAGCTGGTGGTTCACGTGGGAGTTTCGGGCATGGCCACGACGGTCACCCTGGAGAAGTGCGGCCACAACGTGGGTTACAAAGGGCTGGACAACTGCCGGTTCTGCCCGGGCTCCCAGTGCTGCGTGGAGGGGGGGCCGGAGTGCATCGACTCCATCATTGACATGGACACAGTTTGCAAGAGGGTCTCGGCTCTGGGGCTGGACGTGGCCGTCACCATCTCCAAGGACGCCGGCAGGTGCGATCCGCGGGGACAGGGAGGGGAGTCGTGGGCTCCTGGAAGGGGTTGGGTGGGAAGGGGGGGGTCTTAATCTCACCCAGTGCCATCCCCTGCCACGGACAGGGACGCCTCCCACTAGCCCAGGTTGCTCCAGCCTGGCCTTGGATGCTTCCAGGGAGGGGGCAGCCACCACCTCGTCGTCGTGTCACGTGTGTTCTCTTCGTGCTCAGCTCTTGAGGCCCCTGCAATCCACACACTTTTCACTGAATCACAGGGTTGGGTGATCTTCTTCACCCTCGAAGATCATCAAGTCCAGCCATTCCCCCCAGCCCTGCCAAGGCCACCACTAACCCGTGTCCCCAGGTGCCACATCCACAGGGTTTTTGAAGTCTCCCACACCTCACTTCTCACAGGGTTGGCACCACCACCTGTCTTTCGGTGGTCACCCAACCATCATGGATAAAAAAAACCAGCTCTTCATGGTTTTTTTGGTCTTAGATTTAATTAGAACAACCCCAGACTCACAATTCTAGGCTCATATTCTGCTTCATTCCACTAACCCCGGCGTGCCACCGCTGTTATGCTACTCCATTAACAGTTCCTCCCGGCCTGGATTTGTGATTTTTTTGTGTAGATAATCCCTTTTTTTTGCCTTTCAGGTACCTCTGCGACTTCACTTACTACACCTCCTTGTACCAGAGCCGTGGGAGGTCGGCGTTTGTTCACGTCCCTCCGCTGGGAAAACCGTACTCGGCGGAACAGCTGGGCCGGGCCCTGCAGGCCATCATAGAGGAAATGCTGGATCTCTTGGAGCACTCCGAGGACAAAATCAACTGTCAGCATGAACACTGAGGGCAGGGAGAGAGACCATCCTGGTGTTGCACTTCTGGAATTTTCCCCGTCACTCAAGTACTTGGGGGGGAAA